CCCACCACTTCATCATCGCCCATTCCTCGATCCAATTCATCCCCGTGTGATATTTGTTCTAACCTTGTGGATGAGTCTGTGTAGGTTGATACTTCTCTTGCAGGTTCCACTTTGCCACCCTCGACTTCTAATTCGACCTCTATTGAACCTATTGTTGATTCCTCTTCTTTGGGCACTCATCCTATGATCACACGAGCCAAAACTGGTATATTCAAGACTCGTCATCCAGCAAATCTTGGTATTTTGGGCTCATCTGGACTTCTTTCTGCTCTTCTTGCATCCACTGAGCCAAAAGAATTCAGATCTGCAGCTAAGAATCCTGCTTGGGTGGCTATCATGGATGAAGAAATTCGAGCGTTACAACAAAATGATACTTGGATTTTGGTTCCTCGCCCTGCCAACACTAACATCATGGGCTCTAAATGGGTGTTTCGTATTAAATATTTGCCTGATGGATTCGTCGAGCGTTTCAAGGCTCGTCTTGTTGCCAAAGGTTATACTCTGGTTTCTGGTCTTGACTACACTGACACTTTCAGTTCGGTTGTCAAAGCTACCACTGTCCGTGTTGTGCTCTCTATTGCAGTCACAAATAAATGGCCTCTTCAACAACTTGATGTCAAGAATGCTTTTCTCAATGGAACTCTTATTGAACATGTTCATATGGAACAACCTCGTGGGTACATTGATCTTCGATTTCCCACTCATGTTTGTCTATTAAAGAACGCCCTTTATGGCTTAAAGCAAGCTCCTCGTGCCTGGTTTCAGCATTTTAGCTCATTTCTTCTCACACTTGGATTTTCTTGCAGTCGTGCTGACACGTCCCTTTTTGTCTTTCATCAGCAATCTAACCTTATCTATTTGCTTCCTTATGTTGATGACATTATTGTTATCGGCAACAACTCATCTCTTATTGACAACTTTTTTCGCAAGCTTCCTCCTAAGTTTGCTACCAAAGATTTGGGTTCTCTCAGTTACTTTCTTGGTCTTGAAGCCTCACCCACTCCTGATGGTCTCTTTATTAGTTAATTAAAATATGCTCGAGATATTCTTACTCGTGCTCAGTTGCTCGATAGCAAACCAGTCCACACTCCCATGGTTGTTTCTCAACACCTTACTGCTGATGGTTCTCCTTTCTCTGATCCTACTCTCTATAGGTCTCTTGTTGGCGCCCTTCAGTACTTGACTATTACGCATCCAGATATTGCCTATGCTGTCAATTTTGTCAATCAATTCTTGCATGCCCCTACTGCAGATCACTTTCTTGCTGTCAAACGTATTCTTCGCTATGTCAAAGGAACACTCAACTTTGGTCTTACCTCTCATCCATCCACTATTCCTAGTACGCTAGTCGCTTATTCGGATGTTGACTGGGATGGTTGTCCCGATACCCGTCGTTCTACATCCGGCTATTCTATTTATCTTGGTAACAATCTTCGTTTTTTGGAGTGCCAAAATGCAACCTACTGTCTCACGCTCCAGCTGTGAATCCGAGTATCGTGCTCTTGCCACAACTGCTACTGAACTTCTTTGGGGTACGCAACTTTTGCATGACCTCAAGGTCCCTATTTCACAGCAACCTCTACTCTTATGTGACAACAAAAGTGCTATTATTTTGAGCTCTAATCCTGTTTCTCACAAACGAGCCAAACATATTGAACTAGATTATCATTTCCTTTAGAAACTTGTTATCGCTGGCAAACTTCGCACACAATATGTATCCTCTCATCTCCAAGTTGCTGACATCTTCACAAAAAGTATTTCTCGACCTCTCTTTGAATTTTTCAGATCCAAGCTTCATGTTCGTTCAAATCCGATACTCAGCTTGCGAGGGGGTTAATGATAGTTGACCGTTCATTGTAAGGCAAATATCTTACATTATGGCTTACTATATTTTCCCTTTTATTAAAGACAAATATATTGAATTCATTTATTATTCTTTCCTTTTTACTGTTATTTCCATATATTTGTAATTTACCACCATTTAAATGATTATAAATAAGAGAATTCTTACCACCATTTAAGTGGGGTGGATTCAACAAACATTTACAACTTCTTATAAAAAGGCTTGTGCTACGGAACCTTAAGTACTACCAAAACTTTACATCATCGACTAGATGAATTCTTGCCAATGTAACCTTCACTTCTTATAAAAAGGCTTGTGCTACGGAACCTTAAGTACTATTCGAGGTCAAAGATAAAGTTCTCTAGAGCCTTGGCATCTTGAACCCCATAAAAAGGCTTGTGCTACGTAACCTTGAGTACTATTCGAGGTCAAAAATAAAGTTCTCTAGAGCCTTGGCATCTTGAACCCCATGAAAAGGCTTGTGCTACGGAACCTTTATCTAGTTGAATTGGACTACAACTTAAACTGGGGTTTGATTCTCAAATCCGCCACTTCATCCCTACCCACTCCAAAGGCTACTCTCAAAATTTTAGATATTTTTTAAATAATCTGAACGATTGCTTGTTGAGTATTGTCTAAGCCCTCAATATGTTCTTCCATCCAAGCAACAGAGCCCGTCGAGCTATCCCCACGCTTGAGCCACTAGCAGTTGTGGCAGTCTTTTGGCGCCTTGACCCTAACTATTAATACATGGACATTAGTTTCTCAAGGCGACCTGCCAGCTCGTTGATCCTGTTAGCTTTAGCGAAAATAAAATTAATGCGAGATTTTAAAAGCCCCAATTCATCAGGAACTTCACTTAGGTAGAGTAACTAATTTTTTATCTCTACCAATTGATTAGTCTGGGACTTGCCCAGTTCTTTTGCAGCAAACATGTTTATGTCCTACGATTCAAGGAGACAACTTGGCTTTGATACTACTTATCACAGTCGAACTATTGTGACATCGGGATAGTGATTATGCGACACTTATTCTAACCCAGTGAACAAGATAATATAGGCTAAAAGAAAATAAGCAACAACCACAACGTTGATAGCATATAACCTGAATAGGAAGAATTGATTACTAGGCACATACCTTATAGTACATTTTGAGGCATTTTAGCCCTAACGGGTGTAGACATGATTTTGTTGACAGGTCATACACCCCGTACTAACACAACAATAATATAAAATGCCTATCTAACTTGAAAGTAAGTAAAGGGGTTTGAAACAGGCACGCGGCTGTGGACAATACGTCATGAACAAGCATGATGGGGACATCTGACATGCGACCGTAGGCAACACGCCATGGACAAGCATGACCGTGATAGCCTGTAGCTTGACTTAAGCTCACCTCGCCTTGACAAGGTATGTAAGTTGTAAGGTTAGTAGGCATGATCTCACACCTTATGTGAATTATATGCATATGTCAGTTACTGTCTTATGAACTAATTAGGATACAATTTGTCACAATACCTAATAACTTGGTGTCTATTTAGGATAAAATTTGTTACAATACCTAATAACTTGGTGTCTATTGCATGATGATAGATTATGGACCCTAAAACCTGTAGAGGCATGCTAAGAACAAGTGTTGGAATAAGTAGATACCATGATGCTACAATCTATGATCTAGGCCACTCAGATAAACTAGGGTAACATAAACAGAGGAGAAAATGTAAGAATATCTAGGAGAGTGTTAAGATTTATGCCCTAAAGCCTTGTAATTAATTGTTTAATTTTAATAACAACTTTGATTATTTTATTTAAAATTTAATATTATCCCATATGTGATTGACATACAAGAGGATCATGTTTAAGAATAACCTAAAGGGTCTATATTATATGGATAAAAGTTTGCGGGTGCTAAACAACTAGAAGGTTCAACCACACCAGAGGTAGTTCCTTCAGCATTTTTACATGAAGCTTTAGCGATGTGATTCTCATAAGTTAGGTTTATGTCTATCAAGTTTAATCCAGTGCAATGATTTGTTGGACTACAATCAAACTTGATTGCTATTTCAGTGGCTGAAGTTCCCTTGATGTCTTCGTATGTTACTTCGCTAACTTTAACTCCAGAATCCTATTAAAATAAAGAACAATCAAAATATGCTATTAAAACCGATAAACAAGGACATCTATAAAGGACATCTATAAAACCATTTACCATGTAACTTGTTTTACTGAGTTATTCTCCACCAAAATTTTTTAACTCCATGAAACCCTAAGTTATATTATAAAACTATATTATAAAACCAAATATAAATTAGGAATTCAATAACAAGATACAAATATATACAACAAATAAGATATAAATCGAGCATATTCTTAAATTTTCTAGATAGTTATATAAGTTTGAGCAATTATCTCCAATGATATTAGATATTTTGGATAAATTAAAAAATAAAATCATAAAAGCTTCATACCATTTTAAGACATCGAAGAGTAATAGCATCCCTAATTTATTATCTATAAAAGTAATTTAATGTACCAAAAAATAATATTAATAATTTAGCGCCCATCTTAAACACAAACAAATTTCAAACAATTAGAGATAAAATAAATCAATTATTTATAAAATTTAAAATTTAAGTTCTATTCATCAAATTTAAGAAAAAATATAATAAGAAAAAAATTAACATCTATGAGATTAATGAGGAAGTATACCTGACCAGGACAATCTTTGAGATGTGGACAATAATTTTGATCGATTATGATTGGGTTTTTCACATTATCCATAGTAATGTGTTGAAAATGAACGTTTGTAGCGAATCCATTGCTTGGTCTTCCCCAAGACTTAATCCTTACTCCATTCTGAGTCCCCGTGAATGTAGATGATTTCACGGTAACGTTATGCACTCCATCCTCCTCAGCCTCTATCCCTAAGCTCCCAATGCTACAAACACATTCAACAAAATACCAAATGTTTCATGAGGTTTAATTTCCTCACTCTAACCTAATATATTATATATCTATTTTTATCCAAAATAATTGTAAAATAATTTAAATAATTTTTCTCACGTTCAAAATAACTTTAGAATATATTTTAATTATTCGAATTTAATTTAAAGTTTAGATTATTTTTTAAAAATTAATGTGACAAATTTATTTAAACCCTTTTTTATTTCTAAACACGTTCATTCTAATCTATCTCTAGTTACCTGATTCCATGTCCAGGCCCACATGTAATAGTTTCGATCCACATGTTGGATGTCCCTGGACCGATGGAGATGCAGTCGTCACCGTTTCCAATGTTCGAGTTGAGGATGGTCACATCAGATGATTGTTGCACATGGATGCCATCAGTGTTTGGACTATCGCCCGCAGCCAAGACATTCACTCTACTCATATGCACGTTTTGGCACCGATTCATAACAATGCCGAACAATTGGCTGTTAATTGAAGATAATCCATTGATGTTCACATTCTTTCCATCATTTATTTGAAGACTCTATCCATTCAAAACAATCAAAAGCCATAATTAGTAAAAATTTAAAATAATATTGTAATTAATCCAGTCATTCCCTTTGAACTTTGAGTTAAAAGAAAAATTTTCAAAATTTTTTTATATGGAGCCTACTCAAATTCTACATACCCTGGCTCCAATGGGGCAACTCTTCCGTGAGTGTTTACAATTCCACAAGGGTGTTCCTTGCCCATCAATAATACCGCCAGTAATGGAAAGCCCATTTATGTGATTAAACGAAATCCAAGAACTAGAATTAGCTAAAACTTGAATGTCCGAGGAAGCCACAAGAGTTCCATCAATAAGAACAGTAATAGCATTGTTCTTACAAGGCCCATTAAATCTCACACTTCGAACGAAGAATATACCCTCGGGAACATAAATAGTGGCTGGTTCAGATGAGTCACAGACCTTAGCCCATGCCGTTTGAAGCATAGGCGAGGCATCGGTCTTTTCATCAGGCTTAGCTCCAAGAGTAATAATATTGAATGTTAATTCAGCGGCTGAGGCATGGTTAAAAAACAAAAGTAGCAGGGAAAGAAAAACATGTAAGATTACAAGAAGAGACAAAGAAAACTTAATGATACAATTGTTCATGATAAGCATGAGAGAGAGAGAGAAAGGAAGCAAGTGATTGGATAATAGAAGAGGTGTGGAGTGATATTTATAGGTTAATGCTTACCCTTCTAACTCTAATTTTAACTTATCTGTCTCAAGTACTATTTTATTTTTGTTCTATTTAACCATTATTGTTTTTATATGGTTTACCATTTTTAATTAGGTATGTCATGTAGGTAAATTTAATCGAATTAAATGATCATTTAACTCTGTCTCGTGCAAACATTTTTAAATTTAAGTCTATCTTATAAGATAATACACTAGTTATCATTTTAACGATCTCTCATTTTTAAAATTATTAAATTAAAAAAGGTTTCTTTGTCAATATGATTTTATTTTTGTTTTAACTTAAAAAGGGATGGGAAGATTTTAACAAAAAAAAAAAATCCTAATTTTTCCATCTGTTTCATTGGCCTCTCAACCTCCTACTATAAGAATAACAATTTCCTAATACTTTTAGGGGTTTATATTTTTAGATATGGATTCTATATTGATTCTCTATTATAATAAAAATAATAAAACATTCTGTAAGATAGGATCGACAAAACACTATTATATATTTTTCAGTCATTTTTATCACGTTGATGTTAGTGATGTAACAGAAAGTTGGTGATTTTTTATTTGCAAAGATGTCACAAATAATGAGAGGTAGAATTGTTTGTCATATTTGTAACTATCCAATAAATTTACAAATACATCACACCCAGAAATCATTTACAAATGTTATATTTTTCGAAGTCTTAAAGTCTATCAATGATAGAGTATATCAATAATATGCGGTTTTTATACCTATCAACAAATTTTTTTAATCATATATAGATTTTTTTTTATCGTCACTTAGGGATTTGTATCACTATGTTACATCTCTTTTCTCCTTTGATTAAATTAAACCCAATTATCACTATGATAGGTTCTTTCCTTTTATTTTTGTAAACTTGACTGGATCTATTTGAAATTAATGAACTAAAGTCTAATTGGTGTAGTGAACTAAAGTCTAATTGGTGTAGAGACAACAAATCTAGGAGGGATGGAGGGAGAGAGAGATCCATGAAAAGGTAAAATAAGTGAGGGATGAGAGAGAGAGATATCTTATGAATAAAAGGATTGGGCGCCTTAAGCAAGTATTACGGCTTACGTATAACCCAGATATTAAGAATTGAAAACTTGTCACATCCCCTTATAGTACATTTTGAGGCATTTTGATCCTCGTAGGTATAAACACGATTTTGGTGAACGGTCATACAACTTCGAATTGACATAATAGAAATGATAAAGACCTAACTCCGTGAAAACAAGTAAAAGGGGTTTGAAACGAGCATGAGATCACAGACAACACACCTTGGACAAACATGACAGTGACATCCAGAAATGCGACTACAGGTAACAAACATTTGACAAGCATGCTTGTGATATTCTCCTCCACTCAATTGGTTGACGTATTTATCAACTAACTCTTCACGAACTAAGCAATGTAGAATGAGACTGACTTTAGCTCTTTCGAAGTGTTTCCAACCCATCTCAGCATTGTGATATCTCTTCCATCTACCAAGAACTTTTATAAGTCTTTTCTTGATCTATTGATGTGTCGTATCTTTCAACCAAACTCTCTTCTACTTCCTTCGTAATGAGATTCTTCATCATGGCAGGAGGTCGTGTTGCTGCATTGTTATTGGTGTCTTCTTTATTAGGATACGTTTTAAGTTTATGACGTGGATAACATAACTAGTCCTCATCCATGGGAGCAATCGGTTCCTATATGATGCCTTCCAAACCTTCTACGTGACTTTAACTGGTCTATAGTATTTTCGCATCAACTACTGATTCTTATTGTTCTGGAATCGAAGTTGATCGAATCTCAGCTTGATTAGAACTTTATCTTCACTTTCAAACTTTTTGCAGCTTGTGTTTCCGACCGGTTATTCTAGTCATTCGTTTGGATGTTTCTTTTTTCTGATTTGACACTAGTTCCTTTGGAGATTTGTCTCCACCTTTTGGTGGAGGTATTCGCTTGGACCTCTCTCCAGCATTCGAGTTATCACTAACAAATTCGAAATTCAACAAGTCATTTAACTATTTATGAAATTCAGCTAGCTCCGGTTGAGGCATTCGACACATATTTGTAATAGACGATCTCAAACCTAATACTAAATCAATTTTAGATCTATCACTCTAGGTGGGGAAGTCGTATGTTGTGATGTTTTCCTTTAGTGACTGCGAGGTTTCTATTTGAATTTGCTCACTCGAGCCCTCCTCTTCAATAATGGGAATGATGATGAACGTGGGTTCATCATGGGTAAGATTGAGTATCAATTATAGCGTCGATATCATCTTCACCCTTTTGGTTATCGGGTATCGATCTGAATGATCGTGTGATTTGACCTCATAACCACTAAGAATTTTGTTTGGGGCATGGAAATGACCTCGCCTTTAAGAAAAAAAAAATCTATCCCTAACACGGCATTGAAATCATTCATCTTGATTATCATAAAATCGGTTTGCTCAATCCAAGTCTCCAACTTGATCAAAGTTCTCTTTGTAATTTTTGAGATAGATAAGGCTACAAAATTACAAAATTGATAGTTTCATCGTTCCATTGTCTTGATGCTAGAGAGTGTTCAAGCGTTTCTCTTTGGACTCTATTATGAAGTTGTGGATGACTCTAGAATTGATCATTCTACTCTTGGCCGATCTATGGTTAACCAAGACTTCATTCTATTGGCTCTTTTGTCTCTCCCACTCTCTTTCGGAAAGAAAATAGTACTTCAACGTCTCCAATGCAAGGGATTTGACGCTTTGACTTGGAAGGCATGGAGAGCCACCCTTTGTGGGTATTCAGATTCTCGATAGGCCACCTTGCATATGAAGCAAACAAGGGCCCTTATGTGTAGCTTTTTTGGTCATGAAGTCTGTCATGAATATCTACCTCTCTTTTGGGAGGATTCATAGTCTCATCCTCGAGCTTCTAAGTCTACCACCTCTCCTTTTAGGGTTTATGTCCTAAAGTCTTGTAATTAATTATTTAACAATTATTTTATTTATAATTTAATATTATCCATTGTATGAAAAATCCAAGGTGTCCCAACTCGAATTATATTTTGTAGCTAATGGATACATTATTTCAAAAATGTCCAACAATATCAATTAGACACTCTCTTGTAAAGACGGTTTCGTTTTTCTCTCTAACCGAGGTGGGATCTCACAATGCACCCCCTTCAGAGTCCAGAGTCCTCGTTGGCAATCATTTCGTTCCCCTCTCCAACTAATGTGGGATCTTACAATCCACTCTCTTCACGGCTCAATGTTCTCGCTGGCACTCATTCCTCTCTCCAATCGATGTGAGATCTCTCACAGTACTCTCCCCTTTCGGGCCCAGCGTCCTCGCTGACATACCACTTGGTTTCTGGCTCTAATACCATTTGTAACAATTCAAGCCCACCACTAGCAGACATTGTCCTTTTTGGGCTTTCACTTTCGAGCTTCTCTCCAAGGTTTTTATAACACGTCTGTTGAGTATAGATTTTCACACCCTTATAGAAAATACTTCGTTTATCTCTCCAACCGATGTGGCATCTCACAATCCACCTTTCTTTAGGGTCCAGCATCCTCACTGACAGTCATTTCTATCAACAATAGATATGAAATCTCTCACACGAAACTTCCAACCTTATATAAATTCATGTCCTCTTAGCTCTAGGTCGGCCTTTGATTAAATGTCGTAGTTTCTCTCTTACATTTATTAACGTACAATTATATTTATTGTGGAACCTCCTTCAAAGCTATAAATGAGTTTGATAGCATCCAAGAGAAGAGGAGAACTTTGATTGTGTGGATCATACCAAAAGTAGCCCTTCTTGCTTTCACCTTCAAACATGACTTTTATTTTATTTTTGTTTGTCATATTTTCATTTCCTAACATATTTAGAGTCATTCGATAACATTCATATTTTTTAGTGTTTTTTGTTTTCGATTTTTAATTTTAATTTTTTCTAAACAAAAGTTTTTGGTAAATGTCCATGTTTCTTTTTTTTATTATTATTTTTTTTATCATCTTAGAAAAATGTAAAATCTGAACTAAGACGACCAAGTAAAATGTAATTTTAAACTTGTTTTACTAATGGTTTGAATCTATTCCTCAACGTTGTGGATTTTGAATAATTTGATGAAAGTTTAGTAACACAAAAATCTTTAATGCAGGCACGTAATGTTTTGTCTCTAATAGAAAAAGGAACACGCCTTTTTATTACAAGATTTCTTGGTCAATACATATCCACCGGATCGTTAACGTGAGCCAACACGATACAATATTTATGTGTTTGTTTTAATGAGAATTTATATTGCTTATAATAAATTTAATGACAGTAATATGAAGATGGGGGAGAAATATTTACCTTTGAGGGAACTGTAAGCAACAGCTTCTAACGTAAGGTTGTTTTAAAAGTTCACATCCCTCGTTTTATTGGAAGGCAATTTAATTATTTATTTAATTATTATTATTTTTTTAAAAAGTTGTTGAAAAAAAAAAGATAAAATATAATTTATTTTTACGATTACGAGAGAAGCTAGACTTGGGGCTTGCAGGTGCATATATCAATGGAGAATTTTCATTAATGGATAAAGAAGAGGGTCTTCTTAACCTTATTTTGGTGAGCTTAATTACTTCATTTCTTCCTAATCCTAATTAAGGTTCTTAATCATCGCCCTCGTTCATGCGCACCTTCTCTTTTGCACCTTCTCATTGCTAATAAGGATACAAATTCTTCTAATACAACACCAAACAAGACAATAAGGTAAATATGAATTATAAGACATTTTAATTACGAGTTTCATTTTTGAAGGAACTTAATTGTAACACTCCACCACTAACAAATATTATCAATTTTAGCGTGTTACGTATCGTCTTGTTACATATCGTCGTTAGACTCACAGTTTTAAAATTTATTTGTTACGGAGAGGTTTTCACTCCTTTATTAAAAAAAAAA